CATCCTTTGTACAAATAAGAAGACAACAGGTACATAGTCCCATGAGTGGTGAGGATGCTGGAATCTGTACTCCCTGGGATAGCAAAGGGTACTGAAGACCAGGAATACACTGTGGAATCAGTCGGATCTGGGATCAGACTCCAGTTCAGCCACTTATTGGCTGGTGACATGGGGCGTCTTCTTTAGCCCTGTTGAGCCTTGGTTTCCTCACGAGCTGCATGGACATAATATAACCACTTCATAGGCTGGCTGAGACGAATAATGGCCAACGAAAAGCAGAGCAAGCAAGCCAGCAGCATTAAGTCCTTTCTCTGGTTAACTATCTGTAGCTGAAGGCCACCTGGCAAATCCACCCTGACTCAGTAAAGCCCTGAGAAAAGCCAGCTTGGTGGTCCTCAAGGCTGAGGAACTACCGCGCGGAACAAAAGGGTGACACCCTCCCACCCTGAGTGAAGGTTCTTCCCCAGGCCTTCCGTGCCTCTCCCAGGGGCCTCCTGTGCTAGACAGTACGAGCTCTTCCCCAACGTGGATCTTACACTCTGTATCCTCAGCACTGATCACAGCGCTTGGCACTTTGGAAGGCAGCAAGCTTGGTGCCAGGGAAAGAGCACACAATTTTGAGTTAGACAGCCCTGGGTTCAAGGCCCAGTAGGCTTCGAGCAAGTTGCTTCCTCAAACCTCTGGATCCTTACCTATAAAGCGGCAATACCACCTACTCTAAAGAGTTGCGAGTTTGAACTGAGATAAGAAAGGCAGAGCCTAGTACAGTGCCTGGAAAATTGCAGACACTTGAAAAACGTTAGCCTTTATTACGAACTATACTAAATTACTAACTCTTCACTAATTTAGTATTTACTAATTACTATTACTAACTATACTAAACATTTGCTGAGCGAACCCGTGGATGAAAAGGACTCTGTTTAATTAACGACATACACCGCCCCCAAACACAATAGGAACAGGTCAGACCGCATTTTCCTTTCTGTGTATTGAGATGCAGCCACAGCTCTTTCGCTAGGGCCACAGGCTTCTTTAGCTCTAACTTCATGCAGCATAATCATGGCAAGTTCCGATCTAGACTCGGCACACACGCTGAACAAAACGCACCGCCTGCCCTCACCTCCATCCCAACGTACACCTAGAAGGAATATCTCATTACAAATAATGCCAAGGGAATCGCCCAACATCTCCCCCCAAATATATAGGAATTACAACTGGAATTCTCCATTGTACAGTGAAAAGCCTGACAGTCACCACCGTGACCAGGTGGTGAGGATTAACACCACCAGAAACAAAACATACCGGCATTCCCTAGGGTACCTGATATGGTACCCTGAAGAGGATGCATCACTTGTGTGATTTCCTTGTGGAAACCTCAAAACCTTAGTCTAATCATGAGGACACAACAGACTAATCCAAATCAAAGGACAGTCTACAAAATAGCTGACCAGACCTCTTTAAAAGTGACAAGGTCGTGAAGGACAAGGAAATAATGAGGAGCTATCACAGATTGGAGGAGACTAGGGGCCATGAAATCTGTGTGCAACATGGGGCCCTGCATGGATCTCAACAAAGCCTGCGTTTCAGTCTTTAAAAAAGTCAAAGGCAGCCTCAAAGGGGGAAAAGGATTAACAAAAGGGCCAGCCGAGGGGTGCATGGAAAAGAGGAGGCCGATCCCAGGAATTTTACCGACCAATTGGGGGTGAGGAAGATTTATGAGAGGATCAAAGTCTAAGCTCCCTTTCCCCCCAACTTTTCAAGCTTGGGCACCAATAGTACAGTCACTTTTTCTCCTTCAACCCCAGCCCCTGAAATTTAACCTAGAGTGAGAGAATAGGTGTGAGCCCGCTCAGCACGGCTTCACAGCAGAATGTGCTCCTGACATTTTCACTGGCTGGCAACATAAATATTGCGTGGCATAATACGGTAAAGTGCTTTTTAGACAAAATGTGGCATTTAAGGGGAATTGCCAAATTGGGATGTAGGCCTTAGGTTCAAGGTTCAAGGTAAAAAATAGGCCCCTTGCTCCTCAGGGAGGAGGGGATCCCACATACGCAGTTTCAGTTAAGTTTGAGTCTTAAAGTTACACAGGAGTCCAAGTAAGGCTTTCACTTTATATTTGAAGGAAACTGGGGCTCAGGCTCACCCCATTGGGTGATTTAACAGAACCACTGCAGGATGCCATGCTGTCTTCTCCAAGCTGCTAGTATTTACCCAGCCTTATGGTCCTGACCAAGAATGAGACCAGCCTACAAGGATTACCCAGCAGCAGACACGTGGGCCCCACCTAGACTTCTGGATCACACTCTTCTGACACTGAAGCCCAAGCACGTCTACCTGGGAAATGTGTTCTGTAAGACTCAGGGACAGAGCAAACAGAGAGAGCCACTGTTCTTCAGCCAGACTGTGTGTATGTGGATGCAGGTGCATACTTGTGCAAGCATTAGGATTTCTTTTTCTTTTTAAAATTTTATTTATTTATTTATTTTAGAGAGAGAGAGAGAGACAGAGCATACAAGCAGGAGGGGCAGAAGAAAAGGGAGAGAGAATTTCAAGTAGACTCCACGTTCAGCACAGAGCCCAACGCAGGGCTCGATCTCACGACGCTGAAATCACAACCTGAGCAGAAACCAAGAGCTGGAAACTTAACCGACTTGCTGGAGTCCAGCTCCAGCCGGGGTGGGTCTCTCGTAGGAAAGGATGGCGTCGGCGAATGAGGAGACACAGACACAGGGTCAGGTTGCAAGCATCTCCTCCTGACAGCCTCGGAGGAACTTTACTTATATGTTAGGATATTTTTGTTTTTCCAAATCTTAGATCATTTTCTGGATTACAGCCATAGCCTTCTTTCATTTTTCCTTTGTAATGATTAACATGACCTTTATTGATTTCCGCTTATTGGCTTTCGCTAAAACTAAAAAACAGTACACAAAGAGAAAGGTGCTAGACAGAGCGTGACCGTCTTGTTATTTTGTTCTATAGAAACTAATTCTTCGTGGAATTAGTTTCATTATGATTGCTTAGATAGGCGTAACTAAGATGAGTAGTCATTTTATCATGAAACCCCAGAAATATTCCCACAATTATAAAGATTGCCATAAACAAAATGAAAGAGAATAGGAGGAGCCAGCTGTGGAGTCTCCTGGTTTCAGGATCGTCCCCCATACTTGGACTTTGTCAAACAGCATGAGTAGCTTGGCTCGCGCCACCGACTGAGCTACCCAGGCCCCCCAAGGGTTAGGATTTCTAGGATGTATCTATAGAGTTGCACGATATCATTTCCATTTACCTTCACTGTCCCTTCACCTCCCACCCCAAACATTTCTCCTGCCTCTCTCCATTCTGCATCCTTGCCCAAGTCTCATGTTTTAAGGTCCATTCTATGTGCTGTTTGGTCCCCTGACCCTTCTCAGCCTTCCTTCAGTGTACCTGAGATGAGATGGTAATCATCTTGGTGCCAACGAAATCCATTCATTCGTGTATTCATTCATTCATGCATTGGAGACTCATGGGGCTCCGAAGATACAGTTACACACAAGACAAGAGCTTTGCTTTCATGGAGTTCATACAGGAGTAGGGGGAGATAATCAGTAAACAAAGACACAAGAAATCAGCAATAATGAGGAGTGTCGTGGTGAAAGCAAATTAGGATGGTGTAATAGGAGTAATAGGAGCCCACTGTTGCTTAAGTGGTAAAGAAAGGGCCTATTAGAGGAGGTCACCTTTAAGCTTAGGTCTACACAAGAGAGATCCAGCCCTGCAAACACCTGGAGGAAGAGAGTTTCAGGCAAAGGGGAGAGAACTAGTGCAAGGGCCCATAGGCAGGTCCAAACTTGGCAGATGAAGAGAGAGACACTGTGCTGGGTCATAGCGAGTGGCGGGGTAGGGAGTGGTCCCAGATGAATCCAGATCATGCAGGGGCTTGTAGGGCATGGTAACTAGTGTGGAAAGATGCTGGGTGGTTCCAGATAGAGAAGTGATAGAATCTAACCTATGTTTTAAGCAACCATTTTGGCTGTCATGTGGAGAATGGACTGGATGGTGTGGGGGGTGGGGGCGCGCGTAGGTAGAAATGGGTCATGAGATTAGAAACAGGGAGACCAGAATCAGAGGGTGCTGCAGTTCACCAGGTAAAGGATGATGGTGTTTGGGTTAAGGTGGTGGAGATGAGAATGGTGGGTGGATTCTGGATATGTTTTGGAAGAAAAGTTGATAGAAATTGTTGATGGACAAGCTGTAGGGAATGAGAGAAAGAGGGAATCAAGACTGCTCCTGGGTTTGCGCCTTGAACACGTGGATACATGGTGGTGCCACTGGTCAAGATAAGAACCCTGGGAGCAGAAGGGGTTGGGGCTGGGAAATAGCTTTATTTTAGACATATTAAGTCTGAGATATTTATTAATGAACTGACTGAAGCCCTCATCTCATACTTTATATGTACCACCAGACAAAGGACTATGAGATCCCCACCCATTGCCTTCCTTTTCAATTCCTTGTTAAGCAGAAATAAAGAGAAAGATAACTGAATAAAATATTCAGTCTTTTGTAAAACACTCTTCTGTTCAGAAGTTTGGTAGTAGGGTGGGTGGGCATAAGTAGCCAATCAATCACTGTGTCACACCAAACAACTGTTCAGGGGGCAAACTAATTAAAAATTTAATCCCATGATTTTCATCTTAATCTCTTTTTCCCATTAGCTCTGATCAATGCCCACAAATACAATTTAGCAGAACAGTCATTTAGATAAATGACTCGGGGGGGGGCACCTAATTAGTCTGTTATGAACCAACTGGTAACTAAAATTACATGCTAATTACCAAAAACCGCACACTAATTTTAAAAGCATTTTATTAGCATAAAAGCTATGTTCCTGTTTATCAGATGACATATCCTTTCTATGTCATACACAACAATTGTGCAAACCTGTTTCTCTTGACTTTCAGAAGTCAAGTTGCAGCATGCTGTTAAGTAAACAGTGCACCTGAGAAATGTCTACTCACCTTTACCTCACACCAGTAAGGTAAGTTGGACCAGTAAGAAGATTCCATCAACTTCTCAGCTACCTGGGGGCTTCCACGGCACCTGCCAGAAACAAAAACAAAAACTGATCAGGCCGGAAACATGAACAACTAAGCAAAACTGAATGTGGAGATGTGAGGACTGGGTTGAAGAAAGGTGAACTCTGAAGCCTGTTGCAAAGCCAAGGTGGTTGCTGAAGAAGATCTTGACTGTGCTCACTTCGTCTGCAAGTCGGGGGACACTCATTTGGTGACCATCTCTCTTCTGATCTATGGCAAAAATTCTACTGCTTTCAATCTCACAGCACATCCTAGGATGCCAAAATCCTTAAGTTTCTTCAAATAAAAGAGATCTTTGTTTAAAAAATAAAAGTCAGGGCATCTGGGTGGCTCAGTCGGTTAAACATTTGACTCGATTTAGGCTCAAGTCATGATCTTGGGTTCCTGAGATGCAACCCCATGTCAGGCTCTGCACTGGGTGTGGAGCCTGCTTGAGATTCTCTCTTTCTCAAAAACAAACAAACAAACAAACAAATAAATAAATAAATAAATAAATAAAAGTCAATGGCTCTGGTCTCCTGTAACCTTTTCAGACCTTTAAAAGTGCTTCCTGCTGGGGCGCCTGGGTGGCTCAGTCCTTAAGTGTCTCCCTTCAGCTCAGGTCATGGTCCCGGGGTCCTGGGATCGAGCCCCGCATCGGGCTCCCTGCTCCGCGGGAGGCCTGCTTCTCCCTCTCCCACTCCCCCTGCTTGTGTTCCCTCTCTCGCTGTCTCTCTCTCTGTCAAATAAATAAAATCTTAAAAAAAAAAAAAAAAAAGTGCTTCCTGCACTTGGGTTTTCACTGCCCTTTCAATAAAGGGTGAGAAATGTGAAGAATGGTGCCTGCCACTAATGAAAACCAACAAGTTTCTTTCTCATGCTGGACATGACCCCAGACACAGGAGGAAAGGTTACCAAACAGCAGGTGTAGGTGGTGGCTGGGCCCACTTAATACAGAAATCTTAAAGGAGAATGGTTTTCTGGCTGCTAAGGCCCTCCGCGCACACATTTTATGGCGATGAAGTCCTAGCTGTTAAGCATCGTCTCTGTCCACTCCATCTGCCACTTCCAATAATAACCGGTTTGGGGGTGGGCTTGCAACATAAACTTTCTTGACCTACCTCCCAGCCCCCTCCCCCCACTCCGTCCCTCGCTCCCCCAGACCCCCCCCTCCCGCGCACACACCCCAGAAGGCCCTCTCTGCGGTCCCCCTGTCACCAACAAGCCGCTGGCGGCATAGCCTCGAAACTGTTCGGTCAGACTGTGCTGCAGCAGAAGCAAGAATTTGGGAGGGAAAAAGAACAGAGACTCCCCGTATTCTCAGCTTCCAAAGGGCTCCAGGGCAACCGGAGAGGAAGTGACGTACAGGAAACGGAAGTGGGACGTAGGTCTAACTCGCCGCCATGTTGTGTGTGGCGGATGGAGAGTGCGGCCCCCAGGGCTCTGAGCTCCAGCCGCCCAGCAGAGAGAATGAACCCTGTCTTTCACTTTCCTTCTTTCGTTCTGTCGTTCTAACGAGTATTTACCGACCTAACTGGTGCCTGGCACTGAGGGTGCGCCAGAAATCAGTGAACAGGACCGACCTGGCGCTCTCCCTCCTGAGTGTTCAAACCTAGCGATGGACACGGAAGCAGGAGGCCTCCGGAGCACGAAGCACTTAGTACGTGGGCGCAGCTGGTCTCGGGCATCTTCGGAGGCTTGTTCGACTTTGGTTACTTGGGTTAGGGCCTCGGCATGGTGCATAGAGGAGGGAGGGATGGAGAGAGAGTTGGGAAGCAGGCGGTGGTGGATTGGGTGTGTGAAATATGCAGAGTTGGGTGACCCCCAGGCTTCTAGGCTGACAGCAGGGTGAGTGGTAGGGAACCACATAATGGAAGGGAACACAGGAGAAGCAGATTTGGCGAAATAGTGTGGGTTTAGACACGTTGAGCCTGCGGGACCCTCCAATGGAGAAGCTTAGCAGGCCGTGGGATGTGCCTGTTTGGATCTCGAATGAAAGTCTGTGCCTTAGATTCGTGGATGGAGAGGAGCATGGAGGATATTGCCTGGTGGAGAGAATACCATTTGGGAAAGAGGCCCAGGACGGACCCCAAGAGCTCCTCTACTTGCAGAGGGCGAGGAGGAGCAGGTAGCCTTAGGAGAAAAACCAGGAGAATATGGCATTGCAGAAGGCAAGGGAAGAGCACTTCGGGTTGTAAACTGGATCAGTTTTCTTGAGAAATTAGGGAGGCGAAGACAGAAATGCCAGGCCTAAACAGGCATTGCCATCAGCTAGAGCAGGTTCATTGAATGGTAGGAGGAGGCCAGCTTGGAGTGAGTTGAGGAGCAGGGGAGGGTGGTGGTGAGAAATGGAGACAAATGAGCATAGACAAATCTTCCAAGAAATTGCCTGTGAGGAAATGAGAAGGCTACTGGAAGGAAGACGTTATTACTATTTTTTTAAAGACTGGAGAAACGTAAGTTTGTTTAGATATTGACGAGGAGCAGCCAGGGATTTTTAATATTGATCAGCTCATGACCATATGGACCTTTGGGTGGGACATTTCCCTAATGAATCAAGATATTGAGCATCTTTTCATGCACTTATTTGTCATCCATGACAAATAGTTTATGAAGAGGAAGAACACAGCATGGGTGGGAGGGGGGCGGGCACAGGTAGAGTCATTAGGATCTCTGATGTTGAGTAGGTTGTGCATTTCCCAAATCCAGGGAGCACTATTGACTGCAGTGTCATCCTAGTTTTGAATAGTAACCATGACTGTTTGGGGGCAGATGATAGTAAAGAGCTTTGAGGAAAGGGTGAGGAAAGAAAGAATTCTTATTCACACAAAATGGCCACAGCAGCTGTTGGTAGTGGAAGTTTGGTGCTGGAAGTTGAGGTACCTACGTTCATTGTATGTATTCTGCCTGGGAAAAGGAGGTGAAATCATTGAAAGAAGAGAATCGAGTCTGAAAGGTTTGTGGACAGTGGAGATGTGCATGGTTGTTGGAGTTGAGGGGAAGGCAGAGAAGAACAAGCAGATTTTAGCCATTTAGACCCCAGACAGTTAGGTCTATATCAGCAGGGGATGAAATCACCAGTATTCTCATCTCGCTATCTTGCATTTCTAGCAGTAGCTTTTGGCCCCTGGTATAATGTCTCAGCAGGTGGATTGGGATGGTCTAAACTTTGCTGATCCTCTTGTCTCCTCCTGCAGACGTGTTTTCCATTTCTTTTGAAGGACACTGGGAAGCTGCCCTTATTTCACAGGAAAACTTTTTTTGTGAAAGTGGAACCAGTGGCCAGCTTTTAAAAATGCATCAGGACTTCTGCTTCCAAGAAGATGGAGTAGATCTACTTTCCCTTTGTTCTCCCACAAAGTACAACTAAAAACCCTGGACATTATATATAAAACAAGCATAAGACTATGGCCTTGTTGGGCACATTATAGAGCTTTACTAATCAAGACAGCACAGTATTTTCATAAATATATGCAAACATCTGAATGGAAAGAGTAGTGAATCTAGAAATAGACCCACATATATTTAGTAAATTGATAAATATTACAAAGCATTTCAAAGGGAGAGGGTATAATGCTTAACAAAAGATGCTGGAATAATTAGACAACCATGTACAAAAAAGAAAGAGAAAAGAACATTGACCCTTACCTCAACCATATACAAAACAATTCAAAATGAATCATAAACCTAAATAGAAGGGCTTAAACTATAAAACTTATAGAAGAAAGCACAAAAGAAGATTTTAGTATGTTTGAGTTTGGTAAGTAGTTCAGAAAAACTATGAAAAATGGGAAAAAATCAATAAATGGGAGTTCATTTATATTTTTTGCTCTTCAGAAAGCCCCATTCAGAAAATGAGAAATCAGGCCACTGACTGGGAGACAATGGTTGCAGAACATGTACCTGACAGAAGACTTCTATCTAAAATAGATCTTTAAAAGTTTGCAACTCACTAATAAGTGAATAAAAAATGGGCAAAATATTTGAACAGCTACTTCACCAAAGAAGATACATGGATGACAAGTGCATGAAAAGATGCTCAATATCTTGATTCATTAGGGAAATGTAAATTAAAACCACAGTGAGCTAGGACCACACACCGACTAGAATGGCTAAAATTAAGAAGACTGACCATACCAAGTGCTGGAAAGCATGTGGAATAATTAGAACTCTCATTGCTGATGGGAATGTTACATGGTACATTTTCCAGTGGTACAAAATGGGACATATTTTGGCAGTTTCTTGAAAAGCAAACATACAGCTACTATAGAACCTAGCCTTTCCATTCCCCCAAGAAAAATGAAAGTGTATGTCCACCCAAAGACTTGCACACAAATGTTCACAGCAGGTTTATTTTAATAGCCCCAAACTGGAAGTGACCTAAATGATAAATAATAAGGGAATGGATATACCAATTTTAGAGTATCCATATGATGGGATATACTCAGTAATAAAAAGGAATGAAATATGAATATATCTGCCAACATGAGTGGATCTCAAAATAATTATGCTGAGTGAAAGAACCCAAATGAGAAAGAAAAAGTATACTGTATGATTCCAATTATATAAAATTCTAGAGAACTCAAGGTAATCAATAGTGACAGATCATTGATCATCTCAGAGTAGGAGATAGGGAAAGGCAGGATGAAGAGATTACACAGGGGTATGTGGAACTTGGGGGTGGCAGATATGATCATTATCTTAATTGTGATGGTTTCATGCGTATACACATATGAAAACTTACCAAGTTGTGTATTTTTATATGTTCAGCTTATTATAGGTCACTTAAATAAAGCTTTAAAAAGAACCCACTACTGAGCTTCATCAAATCTTGTATTTGTTTCTGATTTTTTTCCCCCTCACCTGTACACCTCCCAAACCTATTTCCCTCCATTCCCCAGATGTAAGCACTAGGAAATTGAATTTGGTATTTATCATTCTCATGCATGATTTTCTACTTGACTACGTAAGTCTTTACCTATAAACATCATATAACATTGTTTTGCATCACAACATTTTTCATAA